GGCTTATATATATGATCAAATCCATGTAAGAAAAGAGGAAATTACCTTTAAACAAAAATAAAAACTCCAAGAACAATTCTCGTTCAACTTGAAAAGACTCACAACTCATCAACGACATCATATAAGTGATCTCCACCACTTCTATAATATTTCTAATGAAGAACTTAGGTGGTTTGGCCTTGGATTTGTGTATGAACCTTTAGGATATGCTTAGAGAGAGTTTAGAGGTGCTTAGAGGTCTGGTTTGGTCGAAAATGAGACTTGGAAACGAAGGACAACCACCTTATATAACAAGATAATCCTCCACCGACTTTGTGGGTCCAAGGAGCTGCTTGTGCAGTCTTGTGAAAATACGAATATCTCTCTACTCAGACATCGTATCGACGAACGATTTAATGTGTTGGAAACTAGACTAGTAGATATTCAATGTGGTTGGTGTATAACCCCGTAAATCTAAGTATATTGAGAGAAAAACTCAGTGACATTAGACTCAAATATTTAGTAAAATTATGAACCTAATTTGCGATAACTTTTGTCGACTTTTGTTTTACAACTCGTTTGACTTCAAAACTTAACATACGACTATTATACGATTCAAATAGCTCATAATATGACCTTTATAGTATGTTAATAACTTCTAGTCTTACCCCAAAGGTACGAGTTATAACATTCCCAACTTGCCAGCTTTCGACGAAACTTATTTTCTTTGACTCACTCAACTTCTAACCCTCTTGGCACTTGTTGATCATGATCTTAAACCTTTGTAACCTACAAGGTAACTTACTTTATATAATATCAAGGATGATCTCATTTTCGAGCTTACGTGAATTGACTTACGATATACTTGATGTTGACTTTTGAAAATGCGGGATGTAACAGATATAACACCTGAAATAAGATCCTTAGAGCTTTTTGTGACCAAAAGATAATCAACATAAACTAAGACAATGATGAAATGAGAATTAAGTTGCCGTATAAATAAAGACGTATCTGACTTGGAGGAACAAATTTAGGTCAAACAATAAGGAACTTAGTCGTCCAAACCAAGCTCTAATAGCTTGTTTGAGCCCATAAAGAGTTTTGTGAAGTTTACAAACATGATTAGGAAACTTGAGATTAACGTAACCTGTAGGTTGGGTCATGTATACCTTCTCATTAAACTCACCATGAAAGAATATATTCTTTATATCAAGTTGATGAAGTAATCACCCTTTAGATAAAGCTAATGTTAAAATAGCCCGGATGGTAGTAGATTTTACAACTGGATTAGAAGTATCAAGATAGTCCACTCCGAATTTTTGATTGAACCCTTAGTTACAAAGCGGCATTCGATAGATCTATTTGGATTAAATTTCAACTTGAACGCTCACTTGCATCCCAAAATAGCAGTGTTAACATGATGGGGTAATATAGCAGTGTTAACATGAGAATTTATATTGAAAAATTGTAGACCAATTGTGAGATCAATAGAGAATAAGGTAGTGGGGAAAAATGAAATAGATATTTGCGTGTTTATATAAGGAGATGGATATGGTGGTCTACTGGAAGATGGTGTCACAATAATGGGCAACAAAGAATCTTGGTAGTATGATGCAATAACCCATAAGGTAGCCAATACAGTAGAGAGGGGAATATGAGTAGAGAGGGGAATGCAAGGATGAATAAGGTGACAAAGAATTAGATAAGGAAAACAAAGTTTCATAAAAAACGACATACCTAGAGATATACATTCGACTAATAAGAATGTAATAATATTTGTATCCTTTATGTTATGAATTATATTCCATAAAGAAACATTATTGAGTTCTAAATGCGAGCGTGTGAGAATTATATTCTAGGGTCAAAAATAAATATTGGAAGCACACCCAAACACTCTTAAGAAATTATAATCTCATATCTAGCCAAAATGTTTCTTAAAAGGAGAAAGATAGTTCAAGATTGGAGTAGACATGCAATTTATAAGATAAACAGCTGCACAAAATGCTTCATTCCAATAGTTCAAGGGAATCGAGGCATGTGCAAGTAAGGAAAGCCAGTTTCAACAATATGCTTATATTTTCGTTCAATAAAACCATTTTGCTTATGAATGTGAAGGAAAGAAACTTGATGAAGAAGGCCTACTTGAAATTTTTTATATTCACTTTCCCAGTCGAATTGAACAACTTGAATCTTACGTTCAAAGAAGTTTTCAACTTGAAACTTAAAATGTAAGAAAATATCAAACACTTATAGTCCCCATACATATGAATGAATCAAATCTAGAGGAAAAACTAAACTAGACAAAGAACTAGAAAATAAAATTTATTGGTTTTTTTCATATTGACGGAATAATAAACTTGCAACAAAGAACCATCCAAGAGTGGTTGAAGTGTCCAAATGACTTTATTAACAGTTATAATTGGGGCATTGACCTAAACGATTATGTCAAAGTATAAAAGAGAAAAATATGCAGTCAGAGCTTGAGGTTGAATAAGTGTCTTGAAGGGTGAAGAAGGCGATTGAATCTTGTACAAGCCATGCTCACAAGTCCCATCCAATAGTACCTTTCCAGTTGCCCGATCCATCACAAAACAAAAGTGAGGGTGAAACTCAAAAATTATATTATTGTCTGAAATAAATTATGCTACACTTAATAAATCTTTGATAATTTGTGGAATGTAAAAAATATTACACAAAAATAAAGTACAAGAATAGGTATAAATAAACTTGAGTCACCAACATGAGAAATCATTAAACCTGTAATACTTCCCACATGAATTTTCTCATTTCCAATGTACTATCTTATTTTTTAAGTAATTGATCGCACCCGAATTTAAAAACCAAGATGGATCGAAAACAATAGATGGTTGTGCAACCTTGACATCCATATGTTGTTTGTTGGAAGCTTGATACATATGATTGAATCGATAGTAGTAGTTATAGCGGAGTTCCCAAATTTGAAGCAAACCTGGCACTAAACTAGACTAGAGCTTGAGCCAGAGTTAGGACTTGAAAAATTAACATGTGGAGATTGATTTTGCCATGTGTTTCTGCCACAACCTTTATCCCATTTTTCACTATTATAATAACCTGAGTTCTAATTCTTCTTGAAGTTGTGATCTCCTTTTTGAGTATTAAAATTTTTGATTGAAATATTCGCCTGCCCGAAGCCTTGATGGAGTATATTCACATGTTCCAAGCGAATCTCATCGCATAAGCAGTAAGCCATGAAGATCTGTGATTATGATAGGCTCAATTCGAGACGTCACAGATACCACTAGTGCATCAAATTCTAGACCTAAATCATCATTAAAAATTGGTTGTGTTGCTGATACTAAATCATCATCATCTTCAAATGCCTTTATTTTCTATAGTTAATTAACTATTGACATAGTTCTCTTCTTTGTTGTATGAAGTTACAAACAGAGTTGCATAATTTTTGCTCCAGATTTAGAAGCAAACATATTCCCTAGAGCCTGCGAAGCTTCTCTTGATGATGAACATCCTATAACCTGTGCAAAGCACTCCCTCTGTTAGAGAAGACAAAAGCCTATTGAGTAGCAATTTATCTTGTTTCTTCCAAGCTAAATAATTGAAATTGAGCACTGGTCAACTATAGATGCCTCATATGGACTGCACATAATAAACTTTTGGGCATTCATGAGTACCAAACCCTCAAGGTCCTGGCCTCATAGTATTAGAAGAACTTGAGATTTCCATGAGATATGATTGTCTCTATCAAGTTTTATGAAGTTAGAATGAGATGCATTTGGAGTGATTGAGTTGCTTCTCCTTAAGGTTGAGTTATTAAGAGTGTAAACGATGGTATAGAAAGCCATGAGACATAAGTCTTAGATGTGCTCTCATACCATAAAAGAGTTTGAGAAACATATGAAAAGTTATTTTGTATTGATCGTATAAGGAGCATTGCGATCTTCTATATAAACAGGTAGTTATAGAACATACAAGATAGACTTAGGTTAGATTTAAGAGAGGAATAATCTATTCAAATTTTTATTCCAAGAGTTACACTCGTATACTACATATTTTCAATATATTCTATTATCATGAATTAGTTATCGTAATCTCACTTTATTTTATCCTTAATCAAATACTTTAATAATAAAACAAGATCATCATGTTCTTAAGTCATTTCTAATCGTTCGATCATGAATTTTCTTTTAAAATGATCACAAATTTCAATAACAAATTTGCTAAATCTTAATTGTAAATAAAGGGTCGAAAGTAGAAGATTAGACAAGTTTGGAGACCAAAGATATCATATAATTCAAATAAATATAGTGATCCAATTTCAAGAAGGGGAAAAAAGAACTTACGGTCTAGAAGATCAACAATTGACATTCTTTTGATTTTTTTTTTTTGACATTTCTCACAAATTTCAAGAGCAAATTTATCCTTTTTTTTTTTCTTTTTTCCGAAACGAAGAAAATTTATCTAATCTATCTATTATTAAAAGGATAGGAAAAAACCCTCTCATTAAGCCAAGTGGCAGCTTAAAAAAAACCACATGGCATAAGTAGTTAATAATTAGCTATTTAGTTAATAATTAGTTATTGGTTATTATTTTTGAATTTAAATATCTATAAAATAATAAAATAAAATATTTTATAATAATATTATTGACAACAACAGAATAAAATTTAAAATAAAAAATATGTCAAGGTTAATAAAATATATATCTTCTCTTATATTACAAAAAGAAAGCGAGCAGACAAAAATATTAAACAAAGTAATTTGCTAATAAAAATTTCTATTAACAATGTTAAAATACTAAATATTGGATAATAGAAACAAAAAAGTTATTCAATGACTATATAAGTTCCTTTAATTTAATAGGAATTTTATTATTGAGTATATTATATTAACAAATAAGATCTGAAATTTATCAAAGTAATATGCTCTAATATGTTTAAACCAGCCCAATCACAATTTATTTTAATTAATATTGAGGCACGACTACTGGTACTCTATTAAATTATGTGAGCCAAAACTCAGATTTACTACTACAAATTTGCCTCGGCCGATACCAGAGGCAAATTTATCTAATACTGAATTTTGTGAGCCAAAACTCTCATATACTGCTTTAAATTTGCCACGCCCAAAAAACCCGACGTTGGTTCAAGAAGTCCCACATAAATTCTTCCTTGTCAGTGCCAAAGATCATCCACACACTGACAATAAGCATCACCATGGTTAGTGAGCTCTGTGCTTTCCTTTGTTTGATCTCTTTTTCATATTCCTTTTCTCAAATTCCTGTAATGGCTAACCCGTCAGAAGAATTGGGCTTCATTAACTATTTGTAAGAGATTTTTCATGCGATTTACGCTTGAGGGGACTGGTTATTCAGCATTATGTTAGGGAATTTTTAGTGTTTCACTTGTACATTTTCTATACCCTTAATTGTTATGTGCTGTTGTCGAATGATGGGTTCCTTTTGTTTAAAATGTGTTCCAATTTGGATGCAATTGATTTGTCTGCAGGCGATGTATGTGATTTATCAATTTTAATGGCTTATTTAGGCTAAGATGATGAAGTAATTTTAACGGCATGCTGTCTATCATCTCTTAAATGGTCGCTCGATTTAACGGATTCCTTAAATTGTAGGATCTTTCTATTTGGTTTTCTTTCTCAGTTTGGGCGTTAATAGAAGGAGTTCATTATGAACCTCGTTTTTTATATGGAAGTAATGTTTTACTGATGTTGTCGAGAAGAAATTCTGAACACAAGAGGTATACAAAAAGTAAAGAGTTAACACAAAAATATGGTTCTCTACAAAGACTTCCAATGATCTGTTCCTATTAGAACTTCAAGACAAACCCTAAGTTGTAGTGCTTTACAAAGTCATATTCCTCCCCTTTAATTCCTGTTCCTTTGTTTCTAAGTATCAATATGAGTGCTAGCGGCACAACATCCTGTCCTCTACTTCTTTTCCTGCTCCTTAGTGCCTAACTGTGCATCACTTGTTCCACTGTTTCTGGCGTTGTTCATTGTATCTAAGCAATTTCAGGACTGTCCATGTCTGCTGGCTTGAAATCCCTCAGCACACTAGTGAGTGATTCCTTTTTTCCCCCCAAAATCTTACACATCAATTACCAACTAAACATATGCCGTTTTGCTTTTCCTCAAATTTTCTGCTGTTAGGATCACTATTCTTGTTGATATCCATGCAAACCAACAAACCATCCTTGTAGCTTTCAATATCGACACTGATAGGTTTGAGAATCGCTGGTCCTCCTTCTTCAGCAATCTTTTTCCAAGAACTTACTCTATTCCCGTTGCCACATAATGTTGTTATTGGAATCCTGCCATCTCTTCATTATGCTCCTCCAAGCCACATCCATAGGGGATATTGATGTTACCAGTCCTCCAATCCCTATCCTGAATGTCATACTCGTCCGCAATCACTATCCTCCATAGTTGCATGTTCTTTATTTCCAAACTTCCACATCGACTTCCCTATCAGCACTTTGTTGAAAACCTTTAAATCTTTCTCCCTGAGTCCTCTACGCTTGATTGGAGAGGTGGTCACATTCCAATTTACCTAATGAAACTTTATTGTCGTGTCATGCGGGTCTGGTAAGAAATTTCTTTCAAGTTTCTCCAGCTTCCCAGTTTCATTTGTTGTCGGTTCGTGCATTATGGACATGTAATAAGTCAGGATACTTGAAAGTATGCTCTTGATCAGAACTGCCTTTCCTCCCTTAAACATGTACTTTTTTTTGCCACCCCACCAATCTCTTCTCCACTCTTTCAAAGCAGTTTCCCTTTGTAGGTAGTTGGGGATGTTCCTGCTCTGCAATTAAGTACTTCTGATAGTTGTTCAATGTTGTCTACATCTTCCACTGGGATATTTTCCATTTCCAGAAGTTGATCTTCAGCCCCAAAAATTACTTGAAACCATATCAGGACATGTAAGCTAATTGTTTTGCCTCTGCATCACAAAAGACTAGAGTGCCGTATGCAAAAATGAAAGTGGGAGACCTGATGTTATCATAACGTCATTCCCGCCAAACTCCTGCTTTGAAGCCCTTACCCCTTGTCACCATTCTATCCATCATCTTACTGAGTGCCTCCATTATCAATATAAATAGCATGGGAGATAAATGATCTCTTCTCTTAATCTGAGCTCTCCAGAAAGCCAGATGGGCTTCCATTGATGAAAATTGAGAAATTTACTATAGATATGCAGAACTTTATCCACTTTTACCTTTATCCGAAGCCTATCCTTAGCATCAAAGTCCAAGAAGTTCCAATTCACAGTCTTATGCTTTCTCTAGATCCAACTTGCATAGAACACCTGGTATCCCTTTCTTTCTTCTAGAACCCAACTCCTTATTGTCCACCAATTCCGCATCTAAAATTTATCTGCCATCCACAGACACATGCTGAGAGTGAGACACTGTATCATCCAAGACCTTTAGTTTATCTGAAAGGACCTTAAAAATGATCTTATAGATGCTTCCTGCGGCTACAAGACTAATAGATGTACTTGATGTTTGAGGTTCTCTCCTTCTTAACATTGTAGTCTCCATGGCGATTGCCTTCTTTACTTCCCTCTCCCCTCTTTGGATTAGGGATAGGGAGGGGCTCTAGAGGAGCACTGTTGTTAAATAATTTAGTATAATATGTTGCCGCTAGAAGAATTCGCCTCTCATAAATCAAAAAATTTCACTAGGATAAAAGCCAAGCCTCGCCCAAACGCTGTGTGAGCCCAACCTATCAACTCCAATTTGGTTAGCTAGCTCATGTTCTACTGGTTTCTATTGCTTATTTTCCTGTTTCAAAGAAAAGTTTATATCAGATAACTCCTCAATTCTTTTTTCCTACTCTACAGTTACATAATTGGAAAAGAGAACAAGAGAAAGCAACAAAGTCGACTGCACTTTAAAGTATAGCAAAAACATGCCAATGCTTGGAGACCTTGCAAGCAACAAATTGAGTGTCGATTTGGTCTTTAGGACCACTAGACCAACTTCTCATGAACCATGCCATTTAATAATAGTTTTTAAGCAAGAGACAAAGGCAAATCCAGAATTTGAAGTTTATAGATTCCTATAACAACCTCAAGTTAATATACAATAATAACTGGGTTCATAGTCAAATATTTAGTGGATTTCTTAATACATATACTAGGTTTGGGTAAAAGCTACTGGAATCCACTTGTTTAATTGTGGATCTGCCACTGGCAAGAGATAAAACCCAAGCCTCTCCGTATGTGCAAACCTAATTAATGTGTCCAGTCTGTAAATGTATGAACATCTAGTAACCTATGTCCACACGGTCTTTTTATTCGCTTATGGGGTAATATAATTAAGAAGAAGAATGATCGGCAGGTTTTGCTGATAAATTGTGCCTTCATTGACTGTTTTAGGAAGCAGGGAAGATTCTGGAATTAGTCAATGTCACCCATCCAAACAAAAACCCATTAGAAACTTCATTATAAACAAGAGAGTGAGAGAATGAGATAGAACTTACTTTAGAATGTTATGTGCTCATATGTCAATCTGTTCTAAGTGAATGGTAACAGATCTTCTTGTTTAGGGTCAGAGATTGCATGAAAGTAAGAAAGGTTGCAGTTCTTTTCTGTTTGTAAATAATTCCTATATATATTTACTTAAGTATATCTTGTTTTTTTACCACTTATAAGTCCGGCTGAGCAAGTCTTTATCCCTTCATGATTGAGCCGAACTTGACATGTCCCAGTGGTTATGTATTTGGTGAGACGTCAAGTACGTATGCCAACTTCAAGCCTTTTTTACGAGTCATTCAGTTCATCAAAAAATTCATATTAAGGTTAGCAATAAGGGAAAATTTGAAGACCGGCTTTTTAATTTATACTGTCAGGCTCAAAAGTGTTGTTCTCGAACCAACTATCTTGAGAAGGAACATCCAGCAACTATCAACTTAAATGGATGCGTGTTTAATCTTATCAAAAAAAAAATGGATGCATGTTTAAAGTAAATGAAATAAAAGAATGTTGGTTGGGTTTATGAAGTTTTTGTCAGACTCTCTGACTTAGAAGTAATAGATTTACTATTCTAAGTAATTATTGGATCTAACTAATACCACGTAAATACTAAAATAAAAATTACAAACTTTAGTCGGGGGGGTTTATGTTAAATGTGCTAAGCTGGATACATTGGTTTATTTGGAACTTCAAGTAGAACCAAAGGTAATTATTGAGAAAGGAGCAAGTTTGGGATATTCTCTTTAGATAAATCATCTGGGTTCTTTAGCTTCTCTTCATTTATGCAGGCAATGTATATCCGTGTTAAGCATGACAAGTCCACATACTTTATTCAATGTGATCCAACCGAGACAATCCTACAAATAAAGGAGAAATTGTATAACCTCATAGATCAATCTGTTAATGATCAGCGATTAATCCTTGTAGCTACTGGTGATGTGTTGGACGACTCGAAGTCATTGGCTGATCAGAAGGTAGATAACCCCTCTTTCACTACTGTGTAATTGAGAATGAATGGTATCATCGAGGATTCTGGATAATCAGCAGCACTATGGTTAATATCCCTCTCTTTTTTTTATCCATTGTGTTCAGATATAATCTGCCTCATAATGGACTGGTACTTTCCTTCCGGTTGTCTCAAAAACATGTCCACTTTCTATGAAAATACCCCTCAACTATCCAATACCTTTTGATATTATATTATCTAAGAGGTAGTACGACCTTTTAACTAAAAAGTTTAAATTGTCTAAAATGTTACAGATTTTCCAACCTGTTAGAACCTACTTCCACTTAAATAGGATAAAAGTTAATTTCTTTCTTTACTACTTGTGCCAAGTCAAAATTGTATATCTATAATGTGATGGAAGGTACTATATAAGTAACAAACTTTATCTTTATTGTAATGCGAGAAGTTATAGAGGTTCACAAGACACTTTTCACATTGTAATAATCGAATAGTTTGTCACTTCATGTGGTATCTGACTTATATTCTAAGAATTACCATTATGTAACTTTTCAGGTTGAAAATGATGCTGTGGTGGCACTGACTCTGAGGAAAGGTTCTCTCTTTTGTGTTTCTTCTGTTCTGGTAGAAACCTTTTAGCAAACTTAGGGATCTTTGTATCATAAATTGTCTTATTTCGAGTGGATACTGGTTTGAATCTGCTTCTACTATATACCCTTAGTCTCAACCTATGTTGCGCTGACTCTTCAAAATCCCTTCCGCACTCATGTCGACACGACATGGATGTGGGTATGGGTGTGAGATCCATACCGGATTTGGTCAACTTACCTTGGGTACTTTGACTACATTCTATCGCAGAGAAGTATAGATTGATGGGTATTCGGTTTGATTTTTGGGTAACTATATATATAGTTATAGTTATATATGGTATGAGAATGCTTTTCTATTACGCGAGATATCTTATGAATAAAATATTGGTGTTTATAAAGAATAAAGTTTTATTAGTTTTAGCTCAATAACTTTAACTAATTGAAAAATATACTTTATTTGTTGTAATATACATTTATTGGCCGTATCCAAGCACCTATATCCGCACTCGGCCATACCCCTGAATCCTAAAACTTATGTGATGAAGAATCCGACTTCTAGATCCGCACTTGGATCGGATACCCGCACCTGAGTCTGAGCAACATAGGGCTCAACGGTTTGTATTCACATGCTCTTGTATAACATGGTGGTGAAGAATGTTCAAGATGCATTCTCCTTTGTTTCGTGCAAATATACATCTGATTTGAGTACCAACCTTTGGTGGCAATCAATCTCTTTAATGGATTAGAAAAGATGTGTTTGAGTATGGCTTCTGAAAATCCAGGAAGTTTGACTACTGCGAAAGCTACTCATTTGGCCTAAGTGGAAGACTCAGGGAAAACTGGAAAATTCTAAGTATATTGAAATTTTGGTACAGGTGATTAGATTTGAGGCTTTCCATGACAGTTATAAATTAAAAATAATAATAATTAGGTGTTAGATAATACATAATCAAGATGATCATGCATTTTTCGTACATAATCAAGATGATCATGCATTTTTCGTACTGACAACAATCACAAGTTGACTGAAACCAGTACAGTAAATATTCATGTATGTTATTTGGTGCAAAACCAGGTCAGCATTAATTTAAGACTAGATTTAGCGTAATATATGGCTTGAAAAAGTTAGCTGAAGACTGAAACATTTTAATACAACTGATAGGGGTGGGAAGGAGCTTGATGATGTTGTTGCCAATGTCATAATGTAGGTTGAGAAGAGATATTACATGTCTATAACATGATTATTGACATCAAGAGTTAGATGCTATTTCAAAGAGGGCAGGAATGTCTGAATCTGCTTATTGAACATAAAGGGATCGATGTGATCCTGCAATTTAATGGACAATATGGTTGCTAATGGTCTAGAGCATAGAGAATCCTACTTCACCCTAAGTGAGGTGGAAAGGATGTCTGATCAAGCTGGTTGTTTGGCGTTGTTACTGCATGTTACTCAGTGGAATGGTTTATTGTTCCTTGTCTTGACAAGAAGAAAAGGAATTTGCACCAAGGGTGCGGCCGGTCAATAAAGTGAGTGAAAATCTTAAAAAATAAAAGTGATTTCTTCTCATCTGCCTAAGCCCTGGGTGAGTAGAATTACCAAGTACCGGTGTTGGTGGGAGGTAGCAGGTACAAGTGGAATAGTCGAGGTGCATGCTAGCTGGCCCGGACATCATCTTTATATAAGTCAATTGTTTCTTGCTTCCTCATGCTGAAACTTGGAGTCGTCATGAATTTCTGAGTTTTGATGAAGATATATTTAGTGCTTCAAGGAGTTTAATGTTGAGTTACAAACAAAACCATTTGGTAGCAAATCTTTCAAAGAACTTTCTCTCCCTTCAATTGATATGTTATGGCTTTTTGCACATTATTATTTGTGCAAATCCATCTTTTGTGACCTTCCAGAATTAAAAGAAGAAATTAGAAATAATTGCGAAAACGAAAAAGAATCCTTTTGAGTGTAAGGGAGTGCACAAGAGGGGAGGGGTGAATTGTGCCCAATTAAAAATTAGTTGACTAATGTAAGTAATAGTCGACTCCTTTTCTCTTAAGTCATAGAATTAGGCAGAAAGTAAATATGCAGAAATAAAGAAACAGTAAAGGCTCAGAGTTTTTATACTGGTTCGAATACCGTTGTGGTATCTACATCGAGTTCACTTGGGTCACAAGGGTTCTCTTAGATCTTCAATATGTGAACAGTTACAACAGTTGTGGTTTTCGTTCATTCACCACTAACGAAGTTCAGTTTGAATGGTTCTCAATGCTTGACACTACTTCTTGACTGTTTTCTAACTTTTCCTATCTTTTGTGACACTAGTAAACTCAAGAATACAGTGTTTGTACTAAGAACTAGAAAGATGTAGAAACTTGTATATGGAAATGCGTAAGTCTTTCTTTTGTCCTTCAGTTCTTCATATAGGTAGGTCTTGAGTTCTTCTTGTTGTCAGAGTCGTTGCACATCTTGAGCAGACGGACCATTAATTGAGGTAAAAAATATTCTAAGAGATTTGACCCAAAGGTTGCCTCTGAATCCAGTTCACAAAAGAGGTCTGGATTCAATTCTTGGATATGCTCTTCTTTCCTTGTATTTTCCTGACTTTTCAGGAGCAATCATTGGCCTGTAGTTGATTGATCGACAATCACTCCAACTTCCATTTTGCTTGTTGTCTAAATTTGAATTTTGTCAATTATGATCTTGTGATTTCTTTCTCCACAGTTTTTCCTTTATTTTCGAACTTGATCGCTCATCCTTGTCTTGATTGATTTGCTCCAGACTGCTTGATTCGGCATTGGCTTGATTTCCTTCCTTTTGTCAATTGAAGCATTTGCATTTCTTTCCTTCCAAGTTCTTAAGTTCCTGCATACATTAGGATTGGTTAGATATTTGCTATTGTCATCATTGAAATATAAAGTGTAACAATCCCCTCTTTTTGATGATGACAATCAAAAGGAGTAATAAAGCAGATGACACTTCCCCCCTGAGTTTGTGCTCCCCTGGACTTTGATGCGCTGATGTTCCGTGCTTTGTTGCTTCCTTATTTTCTCCCCCTTTGACATCAATCAAAAAGGAAAGAACTATGCAATGGAGGCAATTATGCAAGTGTACGTAACATGCAGAAGCAAATAGGAAAGCTAGTCCTATGCCTTCAGCTGAGGCATAGTAGTAAATTGGTTCTTACAGACCAAAAGCAAAATTAACAGTACCAAAAAAAATGTTTTATCCTACACACACAGTAGGCCTTAGTTTCTCCCCCAAAAGTACTTCAGGGTATTGATCACTTTGGTGCAGAAAGAGTTATATGTGGTTTCAACTTCTTTGATGAGCTTGTCCATCTTCTCGGTCATGGAGTTGAAAGCTCTGATCCCTTCTCTCTTAGTGGCTCCCATGTCCATCCTGAGTTTAGCCACATCTGTACCTGTTTCCTTGGTGACATTCCTTATCTTGTCCACTTGTTCTTTCATGGCTGGGAGCATGTTCTTCAGGCCTTCAAAACCCTGCTGAATTTGTTGTAAGTTGCTGGGATCAGTCGACTGTGTCTCTATTGGTTCAGCAGGAGGTTCAGCTTGCACTGGAGTATCCCCAGTTTTAGCATGCCTTACCTAGCTATCTTCAACCAAGGTGTAGCCTATCATAGCAAAGGCCAGTGTTGTGAAGAGCGTGAAGCGAGAAAAAACGACAAGCCCCTTTTCGCTTAAAGTGTGAAGCGAGAAGCGAAGCGCTCGCTTTTTTGAAGTGAAGCAGAATTTAAAAAAAAAAATTAAAATAAATAGTGAAACGAAAAATATGGCAATAAGTAAGAAAATAATTGGGCAGCATTTCGCTGCAATTTTAAGGACCGAAACGAAAATAAAAAGAAGAAGAAGAGAATGAGAAAAAGAACTGAAGGAAAAAAAAAATTTGGCAGCATTTTGCTGCAATTTTAAGACTGAAACAGTGAAAGGAGGAGGAGGAGGAAATCACATACCCGGGCTTGAACTTAAACTTTAAAAGTGCTGAAAATGGGAACCCTAGTCGCTGCTTTGCTCAGCTACTCGATGATGTTTTGAAAAAAGACACAGTTTTTTTTATTTTTAACGTAGGCAGTCACTTAAAATACTGAAGCACTCGCTACTGTCGCTTCTCGCTTCAGTTGCACTTCTTTCTTTTTAGCAGAAGCACACGCTTCAACTCACCTGCTATGCTTCACAACATAAAAGTGAGGCTTCGCTTCGCGCTTTAAGTGTTGAAGCGAGCGCTTTTCACAACACTGGCAAATGTTGTCTTATCATAAGTGCTGGAGATAATTTTGGGAGAGAAAGGTGCCACATCAACCTTCATTACTTCGAGAATATGAGAGATAAACAGACCATACGGTAGACATGAAGCAGAGGATGAAACTTCTCTAATACTTTCAAGCATGTACTGGCGAATCCACACAAGAAAATACAGAACAGAGATATTCCTGGTGGTTAAGGAGCTAAAAGAACCAATCTAAGGTAGAAGGGTGGTTGCAATCATATGAGCTAACACACGATGTTCAAACTTTAAACTCTTGGGACCAATAGCAGGAGGATTTTCATACAAAATTGCTTTTGCCTCATCTAGGGACATTTCAAAATCTTTAGGCCAGGAATTTTGAACAAACACATCATAACCATGTAACTTAGCAGAAAAGATTTTCTAAAATTGATACACATCAAGCACAATACGAGTACCTAAAACCATTGACTCCAAATCGTCTTTATTATTCCCAAAGAGATTTGCATAAAACATCCTCACAGGTTCTTCATAGACAGTGTTCCCAATAGTGTCAAACAGAGGAGAAAGGCGTTGAAAAAAATAGAGACAACATCACAATGAAAATCTTTCATAAGAGAGACTTATAGTATGCCCATATGCCATAGATTGACTTGTAGGATTCAAACCTAGATTTTTCGGCTGGACCATAGAAATTCATCTTGACTCAGTACTTTCCACTTTCCCCTTTTTGCATGCATGCCTTTTGGGGTTTGATCCATGGGTCTTTTTCCGTCTCTTTTCTGGCTTAGCACTTGATCTTCTGAAGAGTCACTGCTCTCATTGTTAGTTTTGAGAGGATGGGAGTCAAGGGATGACTCAAGATTAACTGTTTCTTCAGGGGTTTGAGTCTTTTGGAAACGTCGGCTATGCCGTGTGACTGTGGAGCACGAGAGGTTTTTCTGCTTTGCCATGATAAAGAAGTTTGGTGTGGGATGGAAGAAGATGGAAGGAGGGAATTCTTAAGGAGCCGCTGGGGAGTGTGAAGGATTGTATCTCATCAAATACATGATTGCTTTTTAAATTGTTAATTTTGGTGCCATATAGAAGTACTGCCACACCATCACCAACTTTAAAAGTAAAACAATTGTGAATTTGGTGGCTAGAAGTACTCCTACAACAACGTTTCTGGTATTAGAACTTATTTTAAAAGTAAAACAATTCTGCATTTGGTTTCTCTGGGAATTTAAGATGAAAATTGTATGACATTTCTAGTTATTAGCAGCAGCAGTTTCCACAGCTATTAAACTCCCGAGAGCAAGATTTAACAGGAAGTGAAATTGGGCTTTTGAGGAATGTAGGATTTCTTCTGGTCGTCCCTGTTTGTACATAGTGCTCTATTCTTCGACATCACAATATTTATATTAGTTGCTCCATCTATGATACACATTTTTGTTAAACAGTTTCTCATCCATTTGTGGTTCTCTTATCCTTTCAGATGACAATGAATTTGAGGATGTAAATATTGTGAGACCAAATGATTTTTACCAGTCCCGTGATGCAGAAAGTGGTGCAAGTTGGTGACAACCACCCCAGCAACAGTTTATTTCTTAAAGATCCACATTCTTGTACACAGTATCTGGCTTGATAAGACACTTGAGGTAGTGCTAAGTTGCCTGCTGTCCGAGAATGGTATTGTGTCATTCTGTTTAAAAGCAGTGTGATGGAACACTTACCCGAGAATGGTTTTATGTCTTTGTTATTGCAGGAAGAGTTACATATTGACGCATAAATGTTTCAGATTGAAATTCTATTTTTTTTTTTTTTTTTTTTTTTTTTTTTTTTTGATTTAAAGATTTGCATTGCATGTAAATGTTTGGCTGTGTGAATTTTCTTGTATCTCATATTCATTCCATGCATGAATCGCTTCTCCCTTGGAACAATGATTGTTTGTTTAGGACACTAGAATGATTGATTAGATACAGATAGCGACACCACCAACTGAATTGTGTGGTGGATGGTTAGGATTCTTCTACTCTAAGAATGGAGAACTTCTTGGAAGGGAGTCCTTGCCCCTATTAGTTGGCTTATCTGGCACGAATCTGGATTAATCGGGATAGTGAATTTCGGATACCGGATGGTTAAACCTAAAAATATTGATACCACGGAAATGATGGAGACACAGTAAGACTCCACCCATCGCTAAATTATGCTATGTTAAGAATTCTGAGTGTTATTTGTAATGTCGCTGGGACCTTCCTTCTTTCTTCTTATGTGAGATCCAATTAAATTTCACACAAGTTCTCATTGAGAAAAACATATCCTCAATTTAGCGTAGTATGATAGATTACATGCTTTGTGATTGATCACTCCGAATCTGTATAAAAGTTAGACATTTATATATTACAATTTACAACAAAGTGGAAGAAAATGAACGTTTGATTAGAGATTGGGGTTGTATCCTGCTAGTTATAATTTCTAGTTAATTCAGGATTCAATACTAACACTTTTCTTTTCCTTCCTCTATATATGTCTACCCATCACCAAAAAAAATTAAAAAATAAAAAGCTTTTGTTCAAATCTTCTGTACAGTAAATGGTGAAGGTACTGATTTTCAGATTACTACTTTGCAATTATTTATTAATATAATTTACTTTATCGTGTCAATGACATGGTAATATACATGGTTTAACTTGCATTACCGGTTGGAAGAAGTTTCGAAGATGATTTTATGCGACGAAAGTCTGTAGATTCATACGTGTTTGGATAGTTGCAGTTTTTTCTTTAAAAATTTTGAGCTGTTTTGTTGAGTGTATGAAGAGTTTTTCGATGAAAACCATCCTAAATCTCTTTTTTCATTGAGAAAATTTATTTGAAAAAAAGTGGAAAAAACATGTGTTTCAAAATTATTCTTTCTAAAACTTCAATAAACTTAATAAAGCACCACCTACAACCCCAGGGTTATGGGTTCGAGACTTTGAGTCACCAAAGGAACAATAGCTCCAACAAAGGGGATCAAAGGGGCGAGAAACAAAAAAAAAAACTTAATAAACGCCTTGTAAATGTATTAGTTAAGAAATATGTCGACGACGGTTTAGTTAGCAACTTTGACATTGATTGTTTTACCCAGATGATTCTTGGTTAGACAATTTGGCCCAAATAATTTGAGTTCAGAAACCTGCAATCTTTCACATGTGACAAGTGACTGTTTCATATGTCCATTCTATTATGGAAGGTTTGCCAACATTGAAATAAACCTAGTAATACAATATGTATGCAAGGAAGTCCACTTGTACCTAAGGGTACAAAATACAAACATACGTACATACTGTTACGCGGCGCCTTCCTGAAATTTCTTGGAAGGGCGACGTAAGGCTAAACAACCGATGTCAGTGCGGTTGTTATGCGCCAACCGAGGTCCTCGCCGTACGCTAGACTAGATTGTCAGTGCCGTACGGGAAAACTAATGTCGTGAGCAATTGAGCAGCGAAAAATGAGCAATTGATGATGAAAGCTGATGATTGTATTGATGATGATGAAAGCTATTACAAGATGCAATGCGGTGTCGGGAGGGAGGGGGGGGGAGGGACACCAGTACAGAGAATTGTTTGAATGCTT